CCCACCCCAGCCCCAGCCCCTGGCATGGAGTCTTCTGAGACTTGGAAAGAGAGTATCTTGAATCGAGCAGGAAGTTTGCAGCATTTGGGGGCTGGGGAAACCATGGGAAGCATGGTTCAAGAAATGGACTCTTCTTTTATGTGTGGGTGTGAAAGTGTGTGCAGGCAGGGTGTGCATGGAAGCCTCCCAGGACTCAGTGTGCAAGGAGTGCGTGTCTGTCTGTCTTGTCTGGGTCTGTACAGTGGTCCTGAGGAACAGCATCACTGAACAGGGGCAGGGGCGTGAGGATAGATAGTGTTTGTGTCCCTTTATGACAAGCATTTGTCTCTTAGTTCATGTGTGAGTGTGGAGAGTGTGTGTCTATGTGTGTATGTTGGGACTTAGTGTGTGTGTGTGTGTGTGTGTGTGTGTGTGTGTGTGTGTACGCGCACGTGTGTGCAAGGAAGTCAGGACAAGATTACATGTGGACAGGGAGAGGTAAGAGGGTGAGGATTCAGAAATCCTGTCATTCCTCACCCTATCCCCCTTCTCTGAGGGGGCATTTCTGCTTAAGACCTAAACCCAGGCACTGAGGGCTCAAGAGAGTGATGTGAATATGGATTTGTCGGTGTGGACTGCTGTGTGTATGTATGTCAGAGCAGAATTATCATTATGTGGTGTGTAACCAGAGTGTGATGTCTTCCCCCCACTGTCCCACTTGACTATTGGCTGGCCAGGGCAGAAAATGGGGGTTAGAGTGCCTGTCTAGCCACCTCCCTGCTCTAGGCCTGACTCCAGTTGATTAAAAAAACAACAGCCAGCTGCCATTTGGGGGCTCCTTGGGCTCATCTGCTGGCCAGGGACAGGGCTCCAGCCTAGGGAACCCAGCAGGATGACATTTCAGCCTCCTACTAGAGAGTAAGGCAGGGCTGGACTGCTCTCCTGGCTCTCCTGGTGAGGACACACCCAACAGCCCCATGAACCACTTGCCCACGTTTCCTTGCTGCTTCTCCAGCCCCAGCTCATGCCTAGGCTGGACTGAGCCTCCTCCTTGGATGCTGTGCTTACTAGACCTACAAGGATTAGTCAAAACTCAGATCCTGACCCACTGTCGAGTGCCTGCATTGGCTCCAAATTCCCTTCCTCTCTGCACTGGGGGTGGAGGGTGGGTGTACAGCTCTATCAGGCCAACACCAAGTCACTGTGCGACCTTGGACAAATCACTGCATATCTCTGCCCTCAGTATCCTACTTCCAGGGTTGTCTCTCTGAGCTGCCAAGGAGGGAGTGAAGGGAGAAAGGCTCAGTAGAGGCCCTCTAAATGGCAAGTGCTGTGGGTGCCCCAATTGTCACCATGGCACAATCCCCTCATGGCATTTCCTCAGGCAGTTTGAGGAGCAGGGTCTGCCTGGAGAGATGGGGCTGGGCCATTTCTGGGCTGCAGGTTCTGAGCACTAATCCTTTTCCAGTGACAAGAGCTCCCAAAGCAAAACTAAAACAGATTTCTGGTTAAGAAAATGGAGGGAATAAAAGCTGACATTCCCAGGGAGGATGGAAGAATTGTGGCTCTTCTGATCATTTCTCCTCCAGCCAGGTCTCCCTGAAGGCATAACCCATCCCTGGTAGCCCCACCTGTAACAAAAATAATAAAACCCACAAAAAGGGAAAGGAAAAGCCGGCAGAACGCCAAACGCGGACTATTGTCTGCTCTGAGCAGCAGCCTGAACTCTGGGTGGCTGTTGTAAGGGAGGTCTTCATGGAGAGAGCATGAATGGTGGCGTGGGAGGCAGAGTGCCCCTCTCAAGAGCTGGGGCTCAGGGAGGGGCTGTGCTCTGAGATTCTCTAGCCCTCTGTTTCCTGGAGCCCAGAGTCAAGGATATGGTGGGATATGGACAGAACATTCTGCCTAGGAAAGGCCAAAGTCTCTCAACAGGATGGAAGGAGGGAGAAAATGGCCAATACCCCATGGAGGAGGCCCTAGGGTCTTATCCCCCAGTGAAGGGTTTCTTCTGGGTTCCATCCCCCATCTCACCCCTCCTTGACACCATCTTGTAGACCCTCCTTCAGCCAGTCAGTCACCTTTGGCAGAGCTGGAAGTTAGAAGTTAGAAAGGCACCCAAGTTCACCAGGGAAGGAGGCTGCAGAGTAGGGGAGGTGGGGGGGGGGTAGTTCAGAGGTCCAATGCTGCCCCTGGCTCATTTGCATTGTTGGGAGGGATTGGTTTTCCACGGGCTGTTTGCCTTTGGCACACAGGTCACTGGACCTCTCTGCCCCAGTTTCTCCAACTCTCCCCCCAAACAGGGACGTCCCCAGCCCTTGTGTGTTCAGCCAGATCCCACCTCCCCTCACTCCCTCAGTCTTAGCAGGAAAAAAAATACTAGCATCAGGGAAATATGATATTGCTTTTAATTTCTTTACTTATTTTTAAAGACCATTTTTCTTCCAAGAAGTAAAGAGAAGTCCTGAGAGAAAACAGTGTTCCATTTTGGGGCATTCATATCTCCACTGCCCTCAACACTCACAGTCCCACACAGCTTCCTTCTGTCCACGGACCTGGAGCTGCTGCCCCCCAAATGAGGCATGGATTGATCTGCAGTGCCCTCCTGGCTCCCTCAGCCTCTTGAATTGTTGGGAGCCTCTTGAAGCATCGTGCCCATTGTATAGTTGGGGAGAAGGATGTCCTGGGAGAGTGGCAAGTGAAGAGCCCAGGGTCATGCAATGAGAGAGAGGGGAGAGGCTGAGCAGGGATGAGGACGCTGGTCCTCAGAATGCTCATCTCCAAGCCATGAACTGTGTTAACCCTTTACATGCTTTATCATGTTGACTCCTCAGGACCACCCTGTGATTATGATAGAGGGGAAACTGAGGCCCTGAGAGGTGAGGTCACACAGTTAATAGGTGGCAGAGCCTGGGTAAGCCCCATGGCTACCTGACTCCACCATTCCTACCTGACTCCACCATCCTTGCGTCTAAACATTCATTCAATATGCTTCTTCTATAGGTGAGATAGGTCAGCAGCCCCTCTCTACTAGGTGGGGCCTGTGGAATGGCAAAGACCCCTCTCTGCTGGCCCTAAGATTCCCTGCCCAGTATGGTTGGCTTCACACAGGGATCACCCACTGTGTGCCCTGACATGTGACTCTTCCTGGGTGGGCCCTGGAAGCACTGGGGCAGGAGTGACCTCCTCAGAGGCCCTGACTGGATTGACTTTGCCAAGATCAGGTCACCAGGGCCCCTGGCCCTCTTGCCTCCTGACCAAGGGAGAGGGGAATAAAGGGTTAAGTACAGCTGCTGGTGTTTATAGAGTGGACTTCAGAGAGTGCCTTGGGCTGGGCCAAGGGGCCTCTGCTTGGTGTGCCTGTCCCCTTCTTGGCCCACGTGACTTAGGGCAAGCCCCCCCCCCAGCTTTCTAGAGCTTTCTGCATAGAGCCCAAGCTCAGACCCCCGGGCTCCGGCGGGACATCCCCACCTCCTCCCCCCAGAGCGAGAGTCCCCCGGGGAGGCTCAGAGCTGGGAAGCGGCCCCCCACCGCGGCAGAAAGCGGCCCAGTGGTCGCCAGCTGTTGGGGGACAGATGTTGGGGGAGCGGAGAGAGGAGTTCGGGGGAGGGGCCTCGGGCCGGGACCTCCGAGGCGCGGGACGTTTTAACCTCTTAATTGCTGGTTCTGTTTTTTTATGGCTTCTTCTCCTAAGAGTTTGCCTAGAAGAAATGGAGAGCAGGGGCTAGGCAGGGCTCCACCTCCAATCTCGCTTGTTTGGCCTCATAGACTCGAAGGACATCAAGGGAACGTCCTGAAAGTAAAATAATTGAACTCGGGTTTGTTTCAGCACCCTAGTTCGCTAACTTCGTCACTAACATTGGACTTCCCGCTCTGAGCTTCAGTTTCCTCATGCATAAAAAGGGTAGCTTAATAATGGGGGACGGAGTCATAGTAAGCTTGGATGGGCTCTTGCGTTGATGATCGTTCATTCAACAAATTGTTACTGAGCGCCGACACCCTATCCACGGAAAGTAGGCCGGGAGAGTGAGCCTGACTTCATAAAGGGCGTTCAGCTCCCCCCCGCACAACCGCCAGTACCCAGCTACACAGCTCCCTACTCAGGGAAGAGGGGGCGAGGAGGCGCGTGATGCCCACTCTACGCCTTTCAGCCGTTGCTAAAATGCGCAGCATCTGTGGGACACCTCTCCATCCCCAAAGCATCTTTGTCTTTTGCTCCCCGGCGCGCGCCAGGACCTAGGGAGGAGAGCGCACACGGCTGGGGGCGGAGGGGGGGGGTAGCCGCGCCCCCTAATCCCTTTGGCGCTCCCTTCACAGCTCCCGAACACCCCTTTCTTGAAGTTTCGTTGTCTCCGCCGCCAATTTCGCTGCTTCCGGAATCCCGCGGCTCGGGCCTCGCAGCCCGCCTGGGAAGGAGTCTGTCGTTTTGTCAGAGCCTCGATCCGTAAGCCTCCTCGTGCCCCTTGTTTGTGCCACTGACTCCTGCCCTGGGTGGGGAACACGCTTCAGGAGCGGTCCGCAGCGCACCCAAAACTGCGTAATGAGCCTCCCCATCCCCACCTAAGGATCCAGCGCGCGGGTGATTTCGTTGATCAAGCCAAGCTACAGCGAGCGCGACGAGATCCTAGGGCTGGGAGACAGCTCCTGGCATTTGGGGTGACACGGCGGGGTTGTTAGAGAAAGCTGCTGCAAGATCGTTCGCTGCGCCCGCCTGGAATCAAGGGGATGGGGGCACTGCAGGCGCGTAACGCGCTCTGGCGTCGCGGACTCGTGGAACTGTAAGATCAGGGGTGCGCGGGGTATCTCGGACGCGTCCCTGGTGGAGGCCGAGGAATCCTGCACAGCCAAGCGCGAGGCGGACCCGGGATCGGACACTCTCCCCCGCGCTGCGCACAGAGGCCTCAGCCAGGAGACGCAGCAGCTCCCTTCCCCCGCTTCTCCTGCTCCCTGGGGAAGCGCTTCCCTCCACCGCTGGGCACCGGGCCTTGAGCGCCGGACTTTCCAGGACCCGCGACCGCGAGTGGGTCTGCGACGTGGTCAGACCGGGCTCCTTTCCTGTTCGTACACCCGGGATCCAGCGCTTCTCATTTCGCGTCCGGCGGCTTCCGCAGGTCCTACGTCCTTTTAGCGCCTCCGCGCCGTCCTCAGCCCGGAACCCAATCTCTTTGTAGTCTTGGGCAAGTCGCTTGCCCTCTCTGAACCTCTGATTCCACGCGTGCAAAGTGGGTGCCAGTGTCCACACCTCACGTGGTTGCGGCGAAGCCGAGGGGGTGCAGTGAAAGCGTTGCACCTCAGGACCCGGGACCGCAGCAAGGGCTCAGCCCACGGCTGGCTGTTCCCACCTCTAGAAGGCCAAAAAGTGCCCCCAATCTGGACCCTACCAGACCCACAGCGGAACCTGGGGTCGGCCCCACGGCGGGAGTACACTAGGGTGGGCGGTTTCCTCTCCCATTTACTAAGAGGGACTGGGAACAGAGACCGCAGGCTCTGCTGGGCTCTCCCCAGGGGAAGCCGAGTTTCCGATGTCGGGAACCGCGTCTGTTTAGCGAGCGTTTGACCCGGCAAAGGCGCGAAGCGCAGCCTGAGCGAACTGCTTCTGGTCCGAGACAGTGTCGTTGGAGCTATGTCGGGAGCCCGGCTGGCCGAGGCCCCTGCGTTCCCGCACTGAGTTCAACCCAAGACCATTTATTCAACTGACAGTTGCTTGCGTTTGCCAAGGTAAGAGAGGCGGTAACCAGAGTGCGTTTGCTGAGCTGGTTCCTCCACACACTCACAAGCATTTCTGAATCCTCCTTCGGGTGGAAGTGTGCCGGCCCCGGTGGATGCAGAAGCAAATCTTCTTGCTCCTCTCCCAGGAATGCCAGGGGTGCAGAGGGGAGCCAAGGAACCAGACATCCACAAACTGGTGTGATCAGTGATGTTGCTGGCAGTTGTGGCACTCTTCTGGGAGAGTGAGGGCGGGAAGAGAGAACAACCTGTGCGAAGAAGCCTGGCTAGGGGCGGGGAAAGTGCTTCACAGGGGTCCATGAAGACCCGGGACTGACCTTCCATTGTGGCTGACTGGACTCATGCTTGGATGTGGGGTGGCGGATCTTAAGGAAAGTTAGGGACGAGGTGAGCCTGAGAAGATGTGGTCTGTTGGGCTTTGTAAACTCCAGGATCTTGGACTAGATTTGAAGCAGGGCAGGACAGGATTCAGTGTGCCTGCTGGAACCTTCACTGAGCTGCTCTGTGGAGGATGGGTTGCCAGGGATGGCCCTGGAAACAGCGAGAAGACCAGGGCTGAGACTGGCAGAGAGGGGTGCATGATGGGAACCTGGCCTAAGAGGGTGGCAGTGGCAGTGCCAAGGAGGAGATGGGTCCCAGGCATACTTAGGAAAGGAACCAACAGCGCCTCACGATTGGTTGGATGTGGGGTCAAGGAGGGGGAGGAGTGTGTGATTTAGGTGTCTAAGACTGAGCGGCTGGATGAGTCCTGGCACCATTCCCTGAAATAGAGGGTGCACTAGAGGAAACTGAGGCTCAGAGGGTTGGGACAGGGTCCACTAAAGAGCAAACCTTCCCTGGTGCTCAGTGGTCAGGCTTTGGGCTGACTTCTGGGACAGGGGCACAGACTCCGTGGCTTCCTGGAAGGCTCCCAGTCCGGTGGTGGAGGCAGCCACACCCAAATAGCCACACTGCAAAGGGGAAAGAGAGGGGAAAGAGGCAGCACCAAGGAAGGCTTAAGGTGGAGAGGGCATTTGACCTGGGCTTTTGTGTCTTTTTAACATTTACTGTTGGAATGTCGGGGCTCCAGAGCCTGGGACTAGCTGGTTACTTAATAGACTGCAAAGCACTGATAAATAGTAGTAGTCGTTGCTGTTATCTAGTTCAGCTCAGAGCAAGGAAAATGAGAACTCAGGGGGTTGAACAGTTTGCTCAGGGTCATCAAGCCTGTAAGTGCCTATCTGTCTATCCTTCCAAGAAACTCTGAGCTTCTCTACTGCCGGGGTACAGTTTATTCATCTTGGGTTCCTGTCCTTGCAAGCTGTGTGACCTTGTACAAGTTACTTAACTCTCTGGTCCCCATTTTCCTCATCTGCAAAATGAAGATGAATTGGGGGTAATCAACATAAAGCACTTAGAATCTTGCTGGGCACATGGGAAGTGCTCAAAGATTTGCCTATAATTATTACTAGTATATTTCTCTAACACATATGAAATATTTTAATGAACAGATTAATGTTATATACAAATGTAAGTTAATATATATATATATATATATATATATATAGAGAGAGAGAGAGAGAGAGAGAGAGAGAGAGAGAGAGAAATATAGAAAATTTGGAAAACACAGAAAAGCACCAAGAAGACAATAAAATCCATCCACCAGCTCACCTTCTAAGCAGGACATGTCTACAGGGGGTTGGGGACAGAGTGGATCCAAGTAGAGGGAAATTCGTGAGCGAGTGAAGGCCCTGAGGCCTGGAGCCTGGGTGTGGGGCAGGCCACTGGGTTTTGGAGGGAGGAGGGGTGGCCTGTCTGAGCCTCGCCATCCCCTTCCCTGCCCCGGTGTCCCGCAGCCGATTTGGGACCAAGTGCGCACGGTGTGGCCGACAGATCTATGCCAGCGACTGGGTGCGGCGGGCGCGCGGAAACGCCTACCATCTGGCTTGCTTTGCCTGCTTCTCCTGCAAGCGCCAGCTGTCCACGGGCGAGGAGTTTGGCTTGGTCGAGGAGAAGGTGCTGTGCCGCATCCACTACGACACCATGATTGAGAACCTCAAGAGGGCCGCGGAGAACGGTACCCAATCCTCCCACCCAGCATCCGCTGCACCTCTGCCCCCAGCCCTACCCCACCCCAGCACCCCAGGGACTGCCCACACTCCCATAGGGACAGGTACTCGCTTTATCACCTGGAGGCTGCGCATGGAGCCCGGGCTTCTGGCTTTACCATTTGCTTGGGAGTTGAAAGTCAGTGCTTCTCCCTGTAACTGTTTCCTTATCTGTAAAATGGGGCTAATGATAGGACACCTTCTCAAAGATAGATGAGCAGATGTGTTGTAAAGCCAGGAGGCACTCACTGAACCCTAGAGGGGATTCTCATAATGGGACAACCTACTTTCCCTTTGGACAGCTCTGGTTGGCTGGAGGGCTCACCCCTCCAGCTGTCCTGGACAGATGACAGATCCTGTTCTCCCAAACCCATCCAGCACCAGCAGCTCCAAGCTAGAGGTTTGGGGGATGGGGTTCATCCTAGAGTGTAAGGAGACAGGCCTTTGAGTCTGGAGACCCAAGCTCCAGTTTTGCTTCTGGCATGCTATGCTGACATATGAAGTTTCCCCATGTGTGCAAGATGGATGGTGGACTACAAACATCCCTAAATCTCTTCTAACTCTGATACTGTGACTCCTCAAGACACACTGGTCCAGGTCTTCCAGAGATTGTGGGGGCTGAGTCACAGGTGGGTTGGAGGCTGGAAAGTGGGAGCAGAGGCTGGGCTGTGGGCAGAGGTAGGGACCGTTTTCTTAATTCCCCTATCTGGTTCTGTGGAAGCTGCTCACTTCTCTGTAATGTGGATTATTTGATGTAATCCTTACAACAACCCTAGCAAGTAGCTGCAAATCCCCATTTTACTGGTGAGGAAACAGGCAGAGGTATCTGCAGTATGTGACTTGCCAAAGGTTACATACTAGTAAGCCTGCCTGACTCCAGGGCCCAGGCTCTCAACCACCATACTATACCACCCCACTCTTAAGCTCCAGGGCCCCTGAATCAGACCTCACCAATCAGGGGAAGCTGTTTGAATATGGCTGCCTCTATGAGTTTCATTTTCTCGTTGAAATTAGGGGCACCCTAATCCTTGTCCTGCCTGATCTCCTGGGAGACATTAATACCACCAAGTATCTGTCCCATCCCCAGTGCCTCTGGAGGGGGGTATGAACCACCCTGCCTCAATTTCCAGCCTGGGGACGAGTCAGAGATCCCCAGAGTGTACCTGGCCATGGCCACATCAGGGCCATCATTTTCTCCTGCCAGGATTGGGGCTGAGTGGGCTTAGGTGAGGAGCAAATGAAGATGGAGTGCTGTGAAGTGACCAGCAGTGGTGGTGGGCAAGTCAGCAATAGAGCTGGTATGGAATCCCAGGAGTCAGAGGTTCCCCCTACCATGGCCCATCAGTGACCCCAGACTCCTTCCATGCCTGGACCAAACAGAATAACCGCTAGTCACAGACTTGACAGTTATACTCTTGCTCCCCTAGACAGCCCCACCCCAGACTTGTACCATGCCAGGAAGCTTGAAGGCTTGGGGTCTTGGGTTTCCTTTACTGACCACCCTGCAGTTTTGGCTACTGCTTTACTTTTTAAACTTACACCACACACACACACACACACACACACACACACACACACACACTCATCCATCACAGAACATTTAGAAAAGATGATTAAGCAAAAAGAAGAAAACAAAGATCACTGCAAATGCCACCACCCATCATATGTTAGTGTGTATCTTCCCAGATTTCTTTCTGTGCATGTATGTTAGAGTGATTTTGTTTTTTTGTCCCTCGACATAGTGTTTTTCCTAATTAAAAACATATAATAAATTTTGAACAGTGGTGAACTTGCTAGTGATTTTAATTTTCTTCTTTGACCTTACTTATCTGAGTTTTCTGAGTTTTTGACAAGGAGCCCGTATTACCTTTGCATTCAGAAAAATGAGATATTAAAAATAAAATGGGAATATATTTCGTGTGATTGTAAAAGTAATATAAGTGGGAAGAGAAGAGCTAACATATACGTCAGTTAACAAAATTAAACCTTAGAGAAGTTAAGGTGACAGATGATTGTTGTAAAAACCTCCAAGGTTACAGAAATATTGAAGGCAGTCTCCATAATTGCATTCTTTGGAGGAACCATCGCTAATACCTTCCAACCTTTTTGCCTTCATCAATTTTTATAAAATTAGGACCACAACTCTCTAACCTGCTTACCTCCTATCTCCACCAATCTTTGGATTTCCCAGATTAGATAAGAGGGAGCCCAGGTTTTGTTTTTGTTTGTTTGTTTGTTTTGGGGGAGGCCTTGAGTCAGCCAGCTGTCAGAATGCTAGTGAAAGGTCTGGGGCAGGGACTTACTTCTCTCTGAGCCTCAGTTTCCACCACTTTAATGCGAGGATAATGTCACCCGTCCTCGGGGCTGTAAGAAATAAATGGCACGCCGAATGAGAAGCGTCTGGTACTAAGGGGACGCTCAGAATTGAAAGCCCCTTCCCCAAAGACTGAGCTCAGGGACTAGGACCCTGGGGTCCCCGCTCCCAGCCAACTCCGCTCCTGACCCTTCCAGGGACCAGCTCCCCCCACCCCCGTCCTTTCCAGGCTGCCACTAGAAGAGATGGGGACGCGTGATCAGCCACTTCTGTCGCCCCCAGGGAACGGCCTCACGCTGGAGGGGGCAGTGCCCTCGGAGCAGGACAGTCAGCCCAAGCCGGCCAAGCGCGCGCGGACATCCTTCACCGCGGAGCAGCTGCAGGTACCCAGGCAGGCCGCGAGTGGCCGGGTGTGGGAGGGGCGTTGGTGAGGGCGGGGCTGAGGCCTTCTGGCCCCGCCCCTCCGGGTCCCACGGGTGGCGAGGCGGGGCTGTATCGTGTCTGGGGCGTGTCCTCCAGGCTGGATCCTCTGATTGGGCCAGGGCCTTTGCGACCTCCGCGTACTTGTGCCTCACCGCCCCCCCCATCCCCGCGCTCCGCAGGTTATGCAGGCGCAGTTCGCGCAGGACAACAACCCCGACGCGCAGACGCTGCAGAAGCTTGCGGACATGACCGGCCTCAGTCGTAGGGTCATCCAGGTGCGGACGGGGGAGGGTGGGGCCCTCGGGTCTGAGGCGGGTCCCAGGGGCCTGGGGGCGGGTCCTCGAGCAATTGGCGGGGCTGCGGAGCCAAGGTCTCCGGGGCACGTGGCCGCGTTCCTCTGGAGGCAACGAGGCAGCCCCGCCTGGAGTCCCCCAGCTGCGCGTCCGACCCTTTTCTGCGAAGCTGAAGGTGCTGAGGCTGTCGTTCCAGGTGTGGTTTCAAAACTGCCGGGCGCGTCATAAAAAGCACACACCGCAGCATCCTGTGCCGCCCTCCGGGGCGCCTCCGTCCCGCCTCCCTTCCGCCCTATCCGAAGACATCCACTACTCCCCGTTCAGCAGCCCCGAACGGGCGCGCATGGTCACTCTGCACGGCTACATTGAGAGTAAGTGACCGCGACACGCAGGCCGCTCAGCTGGCTGGAGAGAGGGGCTCAGAGGAATGCGCGCGGGCGGCGAAGGTGTGGGGAGGCCTTACCGAGCCTCGAGCCTCGTGGGTGAAGATGCGGACTCCGCAGTTACTTGGGCCTAAGGATTGGGACGAGGGGTTAAGTTCCCTGGTTCTGCCTCAGTAAAAGCAAGCTATCCAGCCCTGTAAAAAGTAGTTTCCAAGCACCCACTGTGTGCCAGAGCCCCAGGACTAGGGAGGGAACAAGATGGATGAAGTCCCTGCTCTGGTGGAAGCTTGCCTTCTGGTGGGAGACACAATGCCGAACAAGAACCAGATAGATGAGCATGTGGTTTTCATTGTGATGATTCCTGTAGAAAAGGTGCTGGATGGGAGTTTTGAGATGCCGCCTCTCAGCAAGCTGAGGCTGGAAACACGGGTAGGGTTAGTGAGACACAAGGAGTGGAGAGAGAGAGGTGTGCCCGGTGGTAGAGGAACATAGTGTAGGTGGGCCTGCAGCCTGCCCGCGGGAGCGTGATGGCATTGGGTGCATTTGGGATCTCAGAAGAAGGCCAGTGTGGTGGGAATACCCAGGGCTGTGAGGCTATGGGCAAATCACCCAACTTCCTTGAACTTCAGTTTCCTTATCTGTAAACTGGGACATTAATAAAGCCTACGTCACAGGGTTGTGAGAACCCACTCACTATTTAATAAGCATTTTTTTGAGTGCCTTCTGTGTTCTGAGCACTCGGATACAATGTAGAACACAATAGACTAAATAAAGCCCATGTGCTCCTGGGGCTACTCCAAAGTGGGAAGTGGGTGGAGAGATAATAAACTAATACAGGAGGGAAGGCAGGAATGTCAGTGGGGACTGAGAACTGTGGGGGAGATAGGGGTTGGTCATGTGGAGTGACCTTTGAGCAGGAACCTGGACGAGAGAGGGATTAGCCTTGTGCATTAATGGGGGATGAACATACAGTGAATCTGCTACTGATCAGGTGCTTATCACAAATTTTTTCCCCCTTTGAGGTTGTTTCCATTGGTTGTTTCCTCAAAGCTGGGCATGACCAGAAAAATAGAGGTGACTACAATATATTTACAAACTCAAATCCTCCCTTCTCTGGCTTCAAGTAAAAGGAAGAGAGAGAAGGGACGTCAGACAGACCTTGCTATTTACTTAGCCCCTGCCATGTGCCAGGACCTAACCATGTTTCTAGACATCAGAGATAGCTATTCCATGATACAGATGAGGAAACCAAGGGACCGCAGTAGTTAGTGGGAGCTTAACGATTGAGTGTGGGCTTTGGTATCAGACCGTCAGGCTTAAAAGCCCATCCCTGCCACTTCCTAGCTGTGTGACATTGGGCAAGCTTCTCAGCTTCCCTGAGTACCAGTTTCCTCATCTGTAAAAACAAGGACAATAAGATTACCTCTCTCAAAGCAGTGTTGTGAGCATCAACTGAGACTATTGACTTCACGTCTTTAGCATTTAGTAAGTGCTGGATACGTATTAGCTGTTCTTCTGACGGTGACGGTGGTTTGGTTGTGCAGAGTCCTGCCTTTTGTACTACGCTGCCAGTTGGAAACTGTGTCTCTTTTTGTCTTGTTCCATTTCTGAACCATCTGCTCAGTAGGAGGGACTTTTTCTCCCTTTCTTTTCTAAACAATGACTTATTTGCTGCAAAGAGCCCGTTGAAGATCTAGTCCATCCGTTAAAGGCGACAAGGACCAGGGGCTCTGTAGGTACCATGAATCTGGGCTACCAGCTAGCATTTGCTGCGGAGTTGGGAAGGATTTAAGAGACCCCCTTGGGAGGGGACCATGGCCTCCAGAGTCATGCCAGGACTCTGCCTACATACTTGGTTGACTAAAGCCTAGATCTGTCTTTGTTGCCTAGAGAAGGAGCTGAGGTGCCCTTTCCTTTTCACCTCGAGGTGGACCCCAGCTCGGGCAAGAGGTATCAAGGGTGTTTGGATCTGCTGACCCTTGTTGCATGACTGAAGGTCCCCTCAGCAGTTTGCTTTGTAGCTAACTGAGTTTCCTGGAGCCTTAGAGCTTGGAAACTGATAACAAGCTTTGGAACCAGAACCCAGAAAAATGCACACACATGCGTATTTTTCCATGTCATCTCAGGCTGTTCGAGGACTCCTAGGACTCCCCAGGTTAAGAATCCCCAATCTTATACAACTGCTTTATTCTACAGAGAGGGAACTGTGGCTCAGGAAGGCGCAGCGGCTGGTCCCAAGTTACTTGTCAACTATAAGTCGAGGGCTCTTTCTCCTGTTACCAAAGCTGTTGAAGTGCTGGGGAGACAGAGGCCATGGACTTCTCTACTATAGCGATAAAGAGAGGGAAACATGAGAGATTTAGGTCAGACGCAAGGATGAACTTTCCCCCACAGTTATAGATGTTAGAATAGGGTGCGGAGATTCATTTAACAAACACTGAACGAGCACCTACCAAAGGCCATGCTTCATTCTAGGTACTGGAAATCCACAAAGATCTAGAATCTAGAAAACAGACAAAAATCCTTGCCCTCGTTGGAGCTTGCATTCTAGTTGGCAAGGACAGATAACATCAAATACAAATAAAAATATACAGCAAGTCAGGCTATGGTAAGTACTAAGGAAGTAAAATAATGCTGGAAGGAAGGCATGGAGGATGGAGGTGAGTGTTGGCGTTAGGTCGCAATTGTAAGTAGGGGGGTCAGAGCGAGCATTCTTGCGTGTAGAAGGTGTTCAATACATATTCATTTATGAGTGTTTGTTTATCAGTGAGCTGGACAATTATCATATAGTATCCTCTAGCACTCCATAAAGACTTTCACATAGAGCATTACAACCGACCCTACTGAAATTTTGCCCAGGGCCAACTAACTGGTAAGTAGCAGAGGAGAAACCGGTCCTAAGGCTCCAGCCTACGGAGCACAGGGCAGGTGGGATCCTGCATGGAGGCTGGGTGTGGGCTCCAAGGTGTCCTCTCGTCCACAGGTCAGGTACAGTGTGGGCAGGTGCACTGCCGGCTGCCTTACACCGCGCCCCCCGTCCACCTCAAAGCCGATATGGATGGGCCGCTCTCCAGCCGGGGTGAGAAGGTAAATGGAGCCAGGTGGGGTCTTGGGGCTCAGAGCCATCCTGCTGGGCATGGGTTTCGGGCGGCATTCCTCGTCTGAGCAGGCACCATACTGCTTTGTGGCAGAGCCTCTCTGCCCAGCGTACTCAGGCCCCCACTGTGCCCCCAAGGAGGTCACTGTAGCAGAGGCAAGTGTATTCCATGTGCATGGGCACCCCAAAAGCCTCCTTGCAGACCCGCACTGATGGCTGGCCTTCTCTTTTTCAGATTTGTGAATTTAGTTACTTTGCTCAAACTTTGCGTTTCCAGAGAGGGCTCATATCACACAGCACCCTGCCTCCCGCTATCCCTGGTTCTTCCTACTTCCTTCTTTTTATTCCTGTCTGTTGAGAGTGCATATCCTGAGCTGGTGGGGCCCGGGATAGCAGGCCAGCGAGTAACCTTGGTCAAATGGCAAGGCCTCCTCTGTGGAATCTGGGTCTCTGATTGTCTCCAGCATTAGGTCTGAATGTCCAGAAAGGTGCTTAGGAATCAGCTAGTCCAGTGGCTTATGAGCTTTGTTTTTAAGCACTGGGACCCTTTGTTGAATCTTTTCCATAACCCACAGTGCAGATGAAAGGGGATGGAGTTGCTCTGGGTGAAACCGCAGAGGGAGTCAGCCCCCTACCTCCCTCTCAGCTCCAAGATACCTCCCAGGTAGCCTGAAAGTCACAGCTCTAAGACCTTCCCCCATTTTTAAAAAGGAGGAAGTTGAGGCCCAGGTAGCTTAAGGTCACAGAGACTGAATGAAAACCTGTGCATTTATTCATTCACTTTTTCATTTATTCAGCTGACATTTGCTCTATGTACTGACTGTGCCCACGGGCCCCAGGTCAGTTGGCAGGAGCACGGAGATGAGGAAAGCATGATCCCTGACCTTGAGGAGGCCACAGTCTGGAGGGGGAGGCACACCCCAACAGTTATAACACGGTGTGATCAAACTATGATGGGGGAGCCAAGGGCGCTGGGGAGTGGAGGGTAGGGGCGTAGACCAGGAGAGATGAAAGCAAGACTTCCTGGAGGAAAGCAACATCTGAGCCGAGGCCTGAAGGTGGAATCAGTTTGTGAGGGAAGGCATGGGCCCTCATGGCTGTGGGGGAACGCTGAGCAATTCAGTGCTGCTGGCACACAGCCTTGGGAGAACAGTGAGGGGTGGCGGGGAGGGGCCAGGTGGAGGAGGATGGACTTTGCCCAGGGCGGTGGGGGGCCCTTGAGGCCTCTTTAGGAAACATACTGTAGTGGTCCTCAGAGAGGCGGGGAGAGCCCCAGGAGTCAGGAGTCAGCAGGTGTGGGGGGCCAGGGAGATAGGGCTGGGCCTTCAAGCTGGAAGGGCCCCCAGGGGCCCCTGAGTCCAGAGTGCAGTGTTGGTGTAATTCTCAGAATCACCTGGGCAGGTTGTAAGATGCAGATTCCCCAGCCTCGCCCCTAGGGAGCTGATGGGCAGGTGTGGGGCGGGGCTCAGGGACCTGTGAGTGTGATACCCAGCCCATGTGATTGTGGCAGGCAGCTAGAGGTGGAGACCACCCCTCCAGGACAGCCGCTCTTACTCTGCCTCCTGATTGAGCACCTGCGGTGTGCTACGCCCTGTGCTGGGCTGCGTGGGTGAAAGTATAGGGTGAGGAGGTACAGACAACCTAGCTGGACAGATAGATTTACCAGTAACTGGCAGTGCTCAAGGCAGAATCCTGTAGCACCTGGCGGTGGGTGGGCATGCCCCGGGAACGTCCCCTGCGGACTGTCAGGCTCACAGTAGGAGCTGCTGCTTGTTGAGCAACTCCCCTGTCCACGGCAGGCACTTTACACGCACTGTCTGCGTGACACTTCCCAAGCACTTCGTGGGTGAGAGGATGGCATCCTCATGGTAAAGATAAGGGAACAGAGGCTCAGAGAGGTGACCCAGCTTGTCCAGGGATGCGGTGAGTCCGTGGGACTCGCAAGGCGGCCTAGCTCAGTAACCACTTCCTTTCGTGCAGCCCTTTCCAGTTGACACAGTGCTCTCTGACCTCACCCTCCACAGCCTCTCTGGGAGGAGGATTCCTGTTGACTCCGTGTCACACCTGCAGACGCTGAGGCTCAGACAGGCCACACACACAGCACGGCAGGGCTGGCCTACATCTTAGGATTGTCTGCCTTGGAGCGGCCTTTCTGCTGCAAGAAAGCATTCATCCTATCAGACCTGGCACAGGGACGGCAGAGGCCAGTTGGCACGGTCCCTGTCCTCAGTGTGTGGCTTAGAGCAGGAGGTGGGCACCTAGACCCCAGGGTGACAGGGCAGTTGAGGTGAGGGACAAACATGGCTTTTGAGGACCCAGAAGAGGGAGTGAAAGATCTAGGGGAGAGGCAGGGGATGAGAAGACGGGCATTCTACTTCGGGAGAAGAGCGCATGCTAGGCACAGAGGCGTGGAGGAGCCTGGGTTCGAGGGACCGAGGGGTGTTTAGTGTGGCTGAGGCCCAGGGAGGCGGTGGGGGGGGGAGCTGACGGGTCACATAACGAAGGGCCTGGACTGTAGGGGGAGGGGCTTGGGCGTTATCTGGAGCGCAGGGAGCCTTGGAAATATTCCGGGCTGCGCTCAGAGCTTGGAGGTGAGCCCATGCCTTTTGGTTGCTCAGCTAAGCTTGTGGTTATGTCTGGTTCAGCTTGAAGGCTGAGACAAGCTGGGGTCTGGCAAATTTGGCTGTAGAAGTTTTCTGGCCCCTGGGTTTGATCGCTGAGCCAGAGTTCTCTCTTGCTGGGTTGTGTCCCCAACTTCACATCCAGCAGCTCTGCAGAAAAATGTCTGCCCCTCTTTCACGACCTTCTGCCTGTCACTGTCTGACCTTCCTGCCACTCCTGGGGACCTTTTCTGTCCAGATCTTGCCAAACCCATGGGGCTTGGTGGGCTGTGTATAGTCAGCTGGCGCAGGGCTTTCTCCCAAGTACCCCCAGGCCTGAGCCAGCCTAGCTGTGAGGAGACTCACATGAACCCACTCATCAAGACCAACACTGGCCCGGTCAGGAGAATGGTCTCTGAGCATTCGGGGATAGCACCCTCTGCCCCCACCACATCATCTGTTGGCCACACATACCTGTGAGTTTCCAGAACCACTTTCTTCCTGGTCATGGCCTCTGATCCCACAGTTTCAGAGCTTGGAAGGCTTGTGGAAGATCAGGGCCAAACTGTTATTGATCACATAGAGAGACTGAGGCCCATGTGGGGGAAGGTCTTACCAGAGTCATTCCTCTCAAGAGAGCTTCTTTTAATAAGAACCCAAAGCCAGGCATCCTGGAGGCCGGAGGAGAGCACTGCCCGAGGCTGGGTGAGCGGGGTAGGCGATGTGGTATGAGCTCTGAGTCAGGCAGGCTCTGAATCCCAGCTCTGCCACCTTCTCACTCTGAGACCCAGGAACACAATTAACTTCTCTGAGCCTCAGTTGCTGCATCCACCAAATGGGGATGATAATAGGTCCCACCACCCAAGCTTATGGCTGAGAGCAGATACAGTGATGTATGTAAAGAGCCTAGCAGGTGCCCGGTACATAGAAAGTGTCCCGGGGATGGTGGTTATTGGTGTGATTACTCTGACGGAGGCCATCACCACTGCTTTCCTCCCTCTCCTCCTCATGGTAACTGATCTGAGCACGTAACAGTCCTGATAAGAAAATGGCTGTGTGGCCGTCCCCACGTGTTGTCCCTGGGCCACTTGAAACCTCCTCCTAACTTCACTGTGAAAAGGCACATCCCATTGACCATACAGCCAGTAATCCTTGACCTGAACTTCAGGGAGCTGGCTGTGTCAGTGGCAGTAAGAGGTGAGCCAGGTGCTTTAGGTGGGAGAGGAAGGACAGGGGCAGACATTCCCTGACCACCCACTTTGTGTCAGGCACCTGGCATGTCTGAGCCACCTACCTGCCCCTCTGCTTTGTGAAGAAAAAGTGCCCAGGAGGTGCTCGGCCCATCGCCTGGTGCAAAGTAAGCTTCGATGGCTGCTGCCGGGTGGCCCGGAGAGGTAGAGGCTGTGGGATACGGTGAAGAGAGCTCGCTCGGGCCCAGGCTTGGGCTGCAGTGCTCAACGCGCCTCTCCTCGGCGGTGTGATCGCGGGTTCACTGATTTTCACCTCTCTGAGCCTCTGTGCCCTCCCCTGTAAAACGGAAATAATGGTGTTGAGGCGAGGTTTGAGGCGAGGCTTCCATGAAATCATGCTTCTCAGGCACTTGACGCCGTGCCGGGCGCAGGGCCCAGCAAGCATTTGCTGCTGCTTTTGTATCTCACCGAAGCCTCCCCGTGCTGAGAGAGAGGTTTTGTCATTCCCATTTTACAGATGAGGAAACAGGCTCAGAGAGGGGAAGTGAGTTGCCCAAGGTCCTACAGCAAGTAAGTGACCGAGCCAGGATTTGAAGGCAGAGCGGGACCCTGAGCCACCCGCATTTTCCGTGTCTTCGAGGACCTCTGGGGGGCTGCCAAGTGGGGCGGGCTCTGAGCTCAGCCACCTTCCCTGCTCTCCTTCTGCAGGTCATCCTTTTTCAGTACTGACGCTGCCAGCACTTCCGTATCTGTCCATGGGCATCCCACAGCTGCCCCTCAGCCGCTGAGATCCAGTGTCCGAGCCACTGCCAGGGATCTACCCACCCTCATCTGCCATCCCGCCCACCACCAGCTGGGCCCCTGGGCCTGGCCATCCCCTCTCCTGCTGAGAACCAGAACCCGCCAGGAGCACCTTGGAGTCCTCCTCTTGGAAGGCACAGCTCTCTGAAATTTGGAATCAGGGTGAAAACAACAGCCAGTTTTTTCCATTTAGACAGGACTCATCTTCAACATAGGCTGATCACAATAGCAAAAGGCAGAACTGAATTGTGCAACGCCAACAGCCTTCTAATTTACAGGTTTTCTTTCCTCCCATGTTGGCCTTTATTCACTACTTCCTTGGAACCATCTCCGAATTCTGAATAGCCAACAACCCCCAATGTTATCCACTCTGTTGCTTTTGTCTGGAAAACTCTACAGTGTCTGTGGGATGTCCCCAAAGGAAAGCTATGTTCTAATTTTATCATTTCCATCTGTCTGGTTGTGTCAAGCTAATTCAGAGAGAGAAGAGACACTGACCAACCCTGAGAGCCCCAGCAGGGCAGAGATGGAGGCCTGCCCAGACTGGGAGGCAGGGAGCTGGGGAGGAAGGCTGGGGGTACAAAGACCCCGATTGGTTTGGAGTTCAAGGGGAAGGAGGCGGCACATTGGGCTGAGAGAGGAAAGAGAAAACTCGGGGTGTGTATGGGAGACCCTCCTCACACCTAGTTACATATATATACAGGCGACATAGCAAAGATGGTGTTTGATCTGTGTGATGACATTTCCGAATGTTTGGGCAGGTTACAATTGGGGGCCCTTCTTGGTCACTTCTTGACTCCTGGTAGGGGTGCTTGGGCCATGTCTTCTTTGGGAGGACCACTCATAGAGGGCTGGGGAACAGAGCAGGGAAATGGCGGTCAGCATGTTAATTCTGGACCCATCTCTGAGTAGAGAGAGGGTGCCCACTGCCTAGGTGAGCGTGCCAACCCCAGGATTCCATGTGGTACCTTCAGGCTCTCCCACCCACTCCTGAGAATGGAGGCCAGACACAGCTGTGCTCACATCTACCCTGTCCTGCTGTAGCTCTTCCACCCCAAACAAAAGGGCTTGGGCTACACAAGACCATGATTTATGTTTTCAGGGGATGCCCATTTGTCCCAAGTTTATCCCGTCGTTTTACAAGTACTTGGTGTCCTGATGCATTTCCCACTAGAGGCTGCTAGTAAGCATGTTTTAGCCCAAGTCCTCCTTCCGGCTCTGGATAACCTGATATGTTGCTTTTGGAAGGAGACTCTAGGACGGGGAAAGCAAGTCCATGGCACGTGTATCAGCCATCCTGGTTTTTACCCATGGCAGACATTGCTAATCAATCACAGCACTCTCTATCTTACTGAGCTTGGATAAGGTTGCAGAATCCACATGCTCGAAGTTGGCACTTAAAATGAAAGCTTACATGCCATTCTTGCTCTGGGACCTGGAGAAAGGCGAGACCTGGGTGCAGCCCAAGAAGAAAACCTGCCGCCTTTCTCTTCTGAAGATGGTGCCTGCTGACTCAGGGCAGAGAGAAGTACCACTGATAATGTGGTCGGTACAGCTCAGTTCAGAACTCATCCAGTGAATGGCGCGTACCCGGCCCGTGCTGATGTTAATAGGAGTGGCTTAGGCTTGATGCCTGGCCTTGGGGAACTCTAATACTTCCTTCAGTTTTTGCTCCTGAGGTCCCAAGCACAATCATGTAGTCGGTGGTCAGTTGAGCCCTGCCCAGGGTTGCCCAGTACCTAGTCTGCCTTGAGCCTCCCACCAGGGTCTGTTCTTCACGTGGATCACGTGGTCATAGCATGTTGCAGTTCAGACATGTCTCCACTAGCCTATTAGAGCAGCCTGGGAACGTACAGGCCATCAAAACTATTTATTTAAATACAAAACACAAGGGGGAAACACACACGGAAAAAAATTGTAAGCACTTTTTTGTAAAACCAATGTCTGTTTTGTTACATACCTTTCATGTTGTGCTTTGTAAATGTCTTATTTGTGTAATAAATAAAGTTAATACAAGTAGAAGTGCTGGCACTTACATCCAGAACGCAGTGGGATTCCATTTCTTTCCTGCTGTCTGGCGAAGGGCTCAGGCCCCTGGGCAGTCTCCTTCCTGGAAAATTGGTACTGTTTCCATTAGTACACTGAGTATCATGAAGGCATGGCAGTGGGTTTCTTCTCTAATCTAAGCTTTGTAGGAAATCAAGCTGGCTGTCCTCCTCCATCCTGCTCCTGAACACGCGTGGTTGGCTGAGCCCTTGGAGAAGGGCCCAGCCCACTCTGCCCCAGAGGGGGTCTCAGTCTGGCAAACAAACAGGTCCCCCCAACTTGCTGTAGCGCCGACAGGGGACATTGGAGTGCACTATTATCATATTAGAAGTTCACAGACTAGGTGCAAAAAACAAGGTACTGGGGGGCTGGGAAGGGAGGCACAGAGGAGCCTGTTTGGAACATGGAGGAGAATTTGACAGAGTGACGTGAAGGCGTCTGGGCTTGAGCGTTGGCACAAGTCTGGGTCTCATACTGGCCTCGTGGGGTTCCAGAGCCACCATGTAATCTGGGGAGTGAGAGAGAGCACCTTCCAGCTGGTGCCAATATTTTTTTTTTTTTTAAGCAGCGGAACAGTTTGTTCAAGCCAGAGCTCGCGAGGAGGGGAGTGGAGCAGCCCTGCCTGGGGCATAGGCTTCTCCACAGCCTCCCACCTGCCCTGCACCACGGCGCCTGCAGAGCTGCTTGTAAACCTCCGCTCAGGGTGTACATGGTCATCACCCCTTTCGTGGCCCCTCTCTTTATTAGTTGTTGCACCCCATCCCCCAACTCTAACCCATCTCTGCCCCTTCCCTCTCCACTCTTCTAATCCATTTATCAAATGTTGATTTAGATATATGTGTATCTTTGAAAGTAGTTTAGTTTTAGGTGTGTGTGTGTGTGTGTGTGTCTTCACATGAATGTGCCTTCTGTTTTCAAAACCCAGTTTGGAAACCCCCAGTGGAGCTCAACCCTGTCATTCTGCAGAGGTGACTGTTGCCTCAGAGGAGAGAGGAGACCCCCCAGGACCCCTTCATGGTGCAGCTGGGAGGGTCCAGGCCTCTCTCTGATTCCTGGCTCTGCCCCCAGCATGCCACCTCTGGCTCCCTAGTTTCAGGCCAGTTTCCTGGCCCTCCTAGGCCTGACTCCCTCTCCTGGGCAGCTCTTGGTGAGCCAGGGGACAAGGCACGGGGGGGGGGGGGGCTGCAGGATCCAGCAGCCTCTAGGGAGGGACAGTTATGTAAAGATCCAGGAGGCTGTGGCCCAAGTGTGGCCCTAGAACATGTCACCGCTTCGTCTTCTGGCTTTCAGCTGACACATGTGATCTCCGGGGTGTGATTTTGAGGAATAATTACTCTGGATGCACAGCTAAGATTATTCTTTAAAACCAGCACATATTGAATACCTGCTAAGTGCTAGCTCCTGTGTTATCTTGTTCAATCCACACAGCTACCCTATTGTTTTCAGCAGCATTTCCCCCATTTTACAGATGAAGAAACAGGCTCAGAGAAGTGAAGTGACTTGCTCAAGATTACATGACAGCTGTGGCTGAGCTGGAATTTGGCCCTAGGTGTGTATGATGCCACAGCCATGTTCGTTCAATGCACTATACCGACTCCATACTTAGGGTATGAGGCTCAAGTCGGGGAGCTGCCAAGAGGGAGAGGCAGGCAGTCCTGGATAATCATTCCTGGGCCTACCAGAAGGTACCAGAAAGACTGTGAGTCTTTACAGTCATCCCGTCCTACTGCCCTGTGAGACCAAGACCAGTAAGGCAGGCAACTCAGTGTAGTAAAACAAACAAAGAGTCTGGGCTTTGTCCTCAGAAGGACTTGGATTGAATTGCTGTGTGACCTAGGGTAAGTCACTCAATCTCTCTCAGCCTCAGATTCCCCATCGGTAAAAGGTGATGCTAAGCCCTCCCTCGCAAGCCTGTTGTGAGGAGCAGAAATACACACACACTGCCTACACACATTAGTTGCTGATTTGATTACATATATCTATTATTACAAGGTGATGGTTTCTCAAACTTCCATGTGCATCATGCATACCTGGGAGTGAAAATTGCTAGACCCCATTCCCAGAGATTCTGATTGGCAGGTCTAGGGTGGGGCCCAGGAATGCCCGGTTCCCAATTTGTGCAGGGGATTCTGATGCAGGTGAAACCAGGAGCCTGTTCCAAGAAGTAGTCTATGGAAAGCACTCTTGAGGCCACTGACTGCAGAAAACCTTTATTCATGAGTCAAAAGTTATGGTCTGGAACTACAGCCTGCCCCCTGGGCCAGCCAATGCCAGCAGAGCAGAAGGAAACCTGGCAGAGGCAGCTGCAGTGCTCACAGCTTGGGCCTGTGACCCACGATCTCGTCCCAGCCCTTACGACAGGTCCGGATGATCCATTCATGCTCGTCGTCATCTGCAAGGGAAGAGGGAGAGCTGGTCATGCCTGGGGCTTGCTGTCCTTTCCCTGCGTGGGGGGGTGAGGGGGGTGGGGGTGTTGGGGAAGACCCCCAGGTGGGGTCCCGGGATGCAGGTGCATTGCAGTACAGGGGAGTGGCTTTGGTGGCCGGTCTCTTTAGCTCCGTGTTGGGAAGGAACAGACCTTTCATTAAAACCAGATCCTTCAGTCGCTTGTGAGTGCCTGGACTTGGGGAAATGGAACACAAAACGGTTTATAGATGGCGGATGCTGCTGATGGAGGCAGGTGTGACACTGAATGGCCACTCTGAGCTGGGCAGACCTGACAGGCACTCAGAGGGCACGTGCCCAGTCTGACATCCACACACGGCACCCCCAGGACAGTCCGGGACTTGCCGGCAGTGCTAGGAGCTAGACCCTTCAGATCTCAGTTTCCTTTCTGGGCTTTCTGGGCTGGACCCTTCCAAGTACCTGCGGTTCCCCAGGGAGCTGACACCCTCTGTTTACTCAGGTCCTTTCAATGGGGAATGGAGAGGAGCTGATGTTCTACGCACATTTATCTCCTTTAATTTAATGCTCGTAACCAAATGATGGCAGCGATCTCACCATTGCATGACGGACAAACAGGATCAGAGAGGTCAAGTCCACAGCCACAGGCTTAGTACGTGGAAAGCCCAGAACTTAAACCTAGGGTTGTCTGACTATAATATAAGCCTGGGCTGTGTTTTGAACCTCAGAGAGAGCTGAGTGAAACACATTCTTCAGCCCCGAGCACATCACCGTCGTCTCTCGGTGCCAGGCCCCTCTGCGGACTGGCTTTACTTTTCCCCTTTATCCCCAAATCCACACCCAGCCCCTCCTCCAACCACGACAGAGACTAATGGTGGGATATATGCCCCTAAAAATGCACGCAGCTCTGTAAAATATGTACTGTTGTTTTGTGTGCAAATGTGGTTTTAATTTACACAAATGGCATTGTGCTGTGAATTTCATTGTCTCACTTTTTTCACTCAACGCTGAATTTTTAAGATCTATTCTTGTCGCTACAAGTACATCTAGTCGTTTGCTTCTTGTGTGTGTTCTATGCAGCTGAGTAGCTCTGAATGAGTGAGGTCCACCATGTCCTGTCCTCACCAGCTCTGCTCAGCTCCTGTAGACTCATGCCCATGGCTGCTTCTGTGGAGTCAATCATCTCATCTTCCTCTTTTCCTCTGCCTTCTAATTTCCAAGCGTTATTGTCTTTTCCAAAGAACCCTGCCTTCTCAGGATGTGCCCGAAATAGAATAGTTTCAGTTTTGTCATTTTTGCCTCCAGCGATGTTTCAGGCTTAATTTGCTTTAGGACCCACATGTTCGTCTTTCTGGTGGCCCAGGGTATCCATAGTGCTCTCCTCCAACGCCATATTTCAAATGAATCCTTTTTTATTTTTTTCCTGTCAGCCTTCTTCACTGTCTAGCGTTTGCATCGGTACATAGTAACTGGGGGTACGAGGGTGTGGGTGACCTTGGCCTGGGTCTCTAATACACCTCTTTGCTCTTGGTGATCTTTCCTAATTCTCCTATTCCATAGCTGCCTCTTCCTCTTCTCCTTGTCCTTTTTCTTCTTCCTTTGCTTCTTACTGCTGCCTAATTGTCCATATAGGCTTTTGTCTGTCCTCCCAGGGGTGGAAACACAAGTTGCCTCTGCCTCCTGTTACCATGAGTAATGGTGGGGAACAGGAGTAGGCCAAGTGTGGCTCACGAGCCACATGCAGCTCTTTGGGTACATTCCATCTCAAAAGTTTGCCGACCCCGGTGGGAACAAACATTCTTGGGCACATCCCTTCATGGATCAGTGGGAGAATTTCTCTGGGGTTATATTCCAGGAGTAGGGTCACCAAATTGTATACGTACTCCATTCACCAGGACTCCCAGCTAAGCCCACGTTCTTTCTTAGCGCCATGCTGCCCGCCTGATGTACACCCGCCCCCCAACCCCCCGCCCCGGCCCCATTCTTGCGTCCCTTCTGTGCTGTGCCCTGGGTCAAAGAGACTAGCCCACACCGCCGCCCTCAAGCAGTTCTCAGGGCCGTAGCACTAGAAGAGCCTTCGCCTCCTCTCCTTACCCAGTGCCTCCCGCTTAAGAGATGGGAGGATGGCACGACCCATCCTCCTTGGGTGACAAATGGTGGTAACTAGGGAACAAGGGGCCTCCCTGAGAGCTGAAATGTTGGGGGCCAGCGGAGATCCTGTCCTCTGAATCAGATCCCCCTGCCCACCGTCCTCTTCTGTGAAAGCACCAGGCACAAGATCAGGGAGATGGAGGCTTATTGACAGCCTACTGTGTGCTCCATGCTTTATAAACACCAGATCTCATTGAATCTGTGATAGCCCAGTAGCGTAGGGGAGAT